TAAAAGAGTGTTACAAGTGGGGGGTGGGGGAGGGAAATCATTCTCCTTGGCCTCTGATGACAGGACAAGAAGCCATGGGTTTAAATTGCAGCAAGGGAGGTTTAGGTTGGACATTAGGAAAAACATCCTGCCTTCAGGGTGGTTAAACACTGGAATAAATTGCTTAGGGAGGTTGTGGAATCTCCATCTCTGGAGATATTTAAGAGCAGGTTGGATGGACATCTGTCAGGGATGAGCTAGATGGTGCTTGGTCCTGCCGCGAGGGCAGGGGACTGGACTTGACGACCTCTTGAGGTCCCTTCCAGTTCTAGTGTTCTATGGTTCTAAGATCTGGGTTCAGTTCCTGGCTCTGCCTCTGACATATGAGACCTTGGACCAGTCACTGCACATCTATGGGCCTCATTTCCCCATGTGCCAGTGGAGATCATGATCCTTCTTTTGTCCATGTAGACTGGGCGTTCTTCAGGGCAGGGGCCATCTTTCACAGTGCGTCTGTGCAGCACCTAGTATGCTGGAACCTGATCTTGGTCAGTACCTCTAGATGCTGCTGTACCATGAATAATGATCTCTGAGCCTGTGGAGATCAGCCCCTTGGGGACCCAGGTTGGGCACTCAAAAATAACACAGTTCTGAGATTCTGGGGCCCCTAGTTTTGTTACAGGTTGTTTCGTGACTGCACGCTGTGAGTAACACCAGCTGCTCCTGGGCATTTCCTGGATAGCAGCAGTTCTTGCTCCCCAGTCAGTCTGTGTGACAGGGTAAAACCTAGGCAGAGATACCCCTTTCCTCCGCCTGAGCACACAGGCTGTGGGTGTTTGTTCTGGGTGCTGCTCCATTAGTGAGAGTGGTGCAGAATGTTGGGCTGACCCAGGGGAACAAGGAGAGGCAGGGGCTGACCAGATGTAGCCTGGGGCAGTACAGGGGGCTTGAGGGGAGTAAAAGGGGCGCGGGGCTGTCTGACCCAGGGCTGTGAAAGCGTGTTGAGTGCCTGCAGAGCGGATCTTACATTTGCCTATCAAATTGAAAACAGCTCCTCCCAGCCTGAATTCTCATCTCTCCGGTGTGTTCCTGCTAGTGACAGGGGTGGGAAATGGACCACAGGCCGTTATAGCTCATCTAAGATGTTCTGCTTGTGTGCTCGTCCCACTGTTAGCACTGAGGTGTGGTGCAATGAGATGTGATGGGACTTGGCGTCTGCACCCCCATAACCAGAACCCATGGCCCTCGCTTGCCCCGTCTGTAGCTGCAGCACAGGAACAAATCGATGACCTGTGTGCACTCTCTCTGTACTTGAGTACCACTCCCCTCCCCCCTGCATCAGCTGAGATCCTTAGTACAGGCTCCATCTTTAGTCTGGCAAACTCCTGTTGACATCCATGGGAATTTTGCCTGTGCAAGATAACCCACATGCACTCTATGGGAGACTGTCATTTGGATCTCTGCCACTGGAGGGCTGTATGAGTCTAATGCTTCCCAGGGAAGGTCTTCTGGATAACACGGCTGGGTTGAAGAGGGAACTGAGGCAGGGTTCCCTTATGGGAATGGCTGGGTACAGAATGCGGAACTGAAGTGTAAGCGGCAATAAGAGACACACAGCTGCTGATCAGTAACTTCAGCCCAATTCTTCTTTTGTCTTGGTGAGATAAAATGTGCAAAAAGGAGAGGTAGGAATTGGGATCTGTGGTGTTGGTTCCACCCAGGATGCTCATCTGTGACAGCGGGGTCTCCATGTGGTACGTCAGAGCCCACCGGCGGGGGTGGGGGTTAAGCTATTTCTCTATCCTGAGAATGAGGCAGGGGCTGGTGGGAGTGGTGGGAGCAGATCTAGAGGGGGTGGCTGTCTTCTCCTGTAAAAGATTGGGAGCCCAATGCCACCCACAGGGAGAAGGAGAGGAAAAGGGGAGGAGAACAGACAAGAGGCTCTCGTTCTGAACCAAAGTAGCTGAACTGTGCTGAGGAGGAGAAAAGGTAACTTCTGGAGGAGAGGAGATTTAGGATGGTCAAAAGATGAGGAGATGCAAGAGTTTCCATGAGCAGAATCTAGGTACAGAAAAGGAGACGAGACTTGATAATTTAAAAGACACTTGATATGAGCGAGGCAAGCAGAGGACAGTGGTTGGGGACATTAGTGTAAGAAGAATAGGTACCTGGGGCAGAAGAGAATTGAGGACGGAAAGGAATGCGCTGAGGGAAGGACCAGACGCTCAGCTGCACGTTAGCATAAATCCATGAACTATGGGCCCCAGCCAAGCATCTGGCCCATCCTCTCCAGCAGAGCCACCAGTTCTAGAAACAGGTATTGACACAGCCCTTTGAGGCATGTTCAGAATGGAGTGGACACAAGGGTCAGTGCAGGGCACTCTGAGCCCTGTGGCTCACAAGGGATAAGCACAACTGAGTCTCTGAAAGAAACCAGTCTGGGCGAGGCTGCAGTTAAGACTGTCCCTTAACAGGCACATACATGCTTGTTTGCGTGTGCACAGCTATCTGGCATGTGTAAGCCTCTGGATACCACAGTGGTGGCCTGGCCTAGGAACCTACCTAGAACAGAAGTGCATGCACATTTGCATATTTTTGCTGAGAGTATTTAGACCCATATGGCCACAAGTGAACACGCATGAGTTTTCTCTATGTATGTATGATTGGGCATGTAGGTGAATTATGTATCTATGCATGGCATATCTTATGATTATTCAGAAATTCAGTGTGTTTGTGCTGGCATGTGTATGTGCATTCTTTACATGTGCATATTTGTGCACAAATGCTGTCTATGCAGGCATGTTTACTCTGGGTATTTAAGGACACAGGTGAGTGTGTGAATGCAGATATGTTTGGGCATGGAAGTGATTTCCATATTTGTATATGGCATATACTTCATAGATGCAAATTCAGTGCATTTTGTGTTTGCATGTAATTTTCATGTGCATGTGTGTTTTTATGTAAGCATATTTGTGCACAAGTACGGTACACCTGTGTGTATTTGTGTGTGCATATGCCCAGGGACATGGGGTGTTTAGGTGGTGTACAGATCTGCACACTTAAGCACATACAGCAAGTAGCTGTGTGTATGAACGTGCCTCACGATCTTGTTGGAGGACACAGGAGCTCGTGTACACAGCATGTGGCTCTCTCATGGGCTACATTAAGTGAACAGAAGAGGCTATTGAAAAGATGCAGGATTCTCACCACAAATGGGAGAATTTTGTTTTCAATGTGATTTGGTTGAAAATGAATGGAGATGAAATGAGGCGGGAGGGGGGAAAGTAACAGCAGCTGCTGTGACCTCTGGTAACCTCTGGGCTAATGGGCTTCACTCCGCTGGGAGATCAATGCACTCTTGTCAGCACAATTCCTATTCCAGCTTCTCACAGGAGCTCACAACAAACCTACCAGGCTTATGAGTAACCAACAAAAATACACCTCCCTCCCCAAAGAGCTGAGGCACAGGCCTGGTCCATTTTTGGGATCAAAAAGTTCCTACGGGGAGGGGGACAAACAGGGTTTACTATTTATTTGATCACCAGCCATGTGCTCATTGTGGTACAAGATACAGCTATGACAGGCGTGGGAAAACTACAGCCTATAGGCCACATCTGGCCCAATCGGATTTTATTCATCTAGCTCTCAGGCTTCCACTGGGGAGTGCAGTCGAAGGCTTGCCCCATTCCACCTGCTACTCCAGAAGCAGTGCTGGAGGCTAGAGAGCATCTGGAACATCTGGCATGGAGATGTCCATTTTTCCAGGGCTCCTCTACTGATTAGAGCCCCTGGGTCCAGTGGCTAATCTGGCAAATCTGCCACTGGGGGAGGGAAGGTGGGGTCAAGCCAGTGAGCATTGATGGCTGGACCATTTTGCCTACTCAGATGTGGCCTTCACACTAAAAAGTTCACTCTCCCCTGAGCTATAGAAGACAGTTCCACCCCTGAGTTGGTATCCTGGTGCCAAAGTGCCATAGGATCAACTGATAAAGGAGTGCCTCTCCTGATCAAAGGAACGTCCAGGGAACCAGCTCAATCCAACCCAGAAAAGCTGTTTGGGAGAACCTTGCCTAAGCACCAGCTGCATCCAACCCATGCCAGGCTGGTTGAGTGTATGGTTGGGGGCTTGGAGGGAGGACCTTTGTTGTGTTTGTGAGGAAGAATGATTTTGTACGTGCCCAGGAAAGCTGGCTGGTGGTTGCTGGTTGGATGTGAGCATGGGGGGTGGATTAGGTGGAAGTGTCATTGTAGCTGGAGTGGGGATTGTGTGGTAGTTGTGGGAGGGAAGGCGAGTCTCAGTGTAGCTGGAAAGGGAAATGTACGGACAGATTGCCAGATGGCTCCAACAAAAATACCAGACATGCTTGATGTTACATCACAATCTGGTGTGGATGAGGGTTGTTGCGGTGGCTGGAGCTGCAGATAGGGGGCTGCGTGCGGTGGCTGTAGCTGCCGATAGGGGGCTGTGTGTGGTGGCTGTAGCTGTGGATGAGGGTTGTTGCGGGGGCTGTAGGTGCGGATGAGGCTAGTTGCGGTGGCTGTAGGTGCGGATGAGGCTAGTTGCGGTGGCTGTAGGTGCGGATGAGGCTAGTTGCGGTGGCTGTAGGTGCGGATGAGGCTAGTTGCGGTGGCTGTAGGTGCGGATGAGGCTAGTTGCGGTGGCTGTAGGTGCGGATGAGGCTAGTTGCGGTGGCTGTAGGTGCGGATGAGGCTAGTTGCGGTGGCTGTAGGTGCGGATGAGGCTAGTTGCGGTGGCTGTAGGTGCGGATGAGGCTAGTTGCGGTGGCTGTAGGTGCGGATGAGGCTAGTTGCGGTGGCTGTAGGTGCGGATGAGGCTAGTTGCGGTGGCTGTAGGTGCGGATGAGGCTAGTTGCGGTGGCTGTAGGTGCGGATGAGGCTAGTTGCGGTGGCTGTAGGTGCGGATGAGGCTAGTTGCGGTGGCTGTAGGTGCGGATGAGGCTAGTTGCGGTGGCTGTAGGTGCGGATGAGGCTAGTTGCGGTGGCTGTAGGTGCGGATGAGGCTAGTTGCGGTGGCTGTAGGTGCGGATGAGGGTAGTTGCGGTGGGTGTAGCTGCGGGTGGGGGTTGTTGCCGTGGCTGTAGCTGCAGATAGGGGGCTGCATGCGGTGGCTGTAGCTGCGGATGAGGGTTGTTGCGGTGGCTGTAGCTGCAGGAGGGGGCTGTGTGCGGTGGCTGTAGCTGTGGATGAGGGTTGTTGCGGTGGCTGTAGCTGCAGGAGGGGGCTGTGTGCGGTGGCTGTAGCTGTGGATGAGGGTTGTTGCGGTGGCTGTAGCTGCAGGAGGGGGCTGTGTGCGGTGGCTGTAGCTGTGGATGAGGGTTGTTGCGGTGGCTGTAGCTGCAGGAGGGGGCTGTGTGCGGTGGCTGTAGCTGTGGATGAGGGTTGTTGCGGTGGCTGTAGCTGCAGGAGGGGGCTGTGTGCGGTGGCTGTAGCTGTGGATGAGGGTTGTTGCGGTGGCTGTAGCTGCAGGAGGGGGCTGTGTGCGGTGGCTGTAGCTGTGGATGAGGGTTGTTGCGGTGGCTGTAGCTGCAGGAGGGGGCTGTGTGCGGTGGCTGTAGCTGTGGATGAGGGTTGTTGCGGTGGCTGTAGCTGCAGGAGGGGGCTGTGTGCGGTGGCTGTAGCTGTGGATGAGGGTTGTTGCGGTGGCTGTAGCTGCAGGAGGGGGCTGTGTGCGGTGGCTGTAGCTGTGGATGAGGGTTGTTGCGGTGGCTGTAGCTGCAGGAGGGGGCTGTGTGCGGTGGCTGTAGCTGTGGATGAGGGTTGTTGCGGTGGCTGTAGCTGCAGATAGGGGGCTGCATGCGGTGGCTGTAGCTGCGGATGAGGGTTGTTGCGGTGGCTGTAGCTGCAGATAGTGGGCTGTGTGTGGTGGCTGTAGCTGTGGATGAGGGTTGTTGCGGTGGCTGTAGCTGCAGATAGGGGGCTTCATGCGGTGGCTGTAGCTGCGGATGAGGGTTGTTGCGGTGGCTGTAGCTGCAGATAGTGGGCTGTGTGTGGTGGCTGTAGCTGTGGATGAGGGTTGTTGCGGTGGCTGTAGCTGCAGATAGGGGGCTTCATGCGGTGGCTGTAGCTGCGGATGAGGGTTGTTGCGGTGGCTGTAGCTGCAGATAGTGGGCTGTGTGTGGTGGCTGTAGCTGTGGATGAGGGTTGTTGCGGTGGCTGTAGCTGCAGATAGGGGGCTTCATGCGGTGGCTGTAGCTGCGGATGAGGGTTGTTGCGGTGGCTGTAGCTGCAGATAGTGGGCTGTGTGTGGTGGCTGTAGCTGTGGATGAGGGTTGTTGCGGTGGCTGTAGCTGCAGATAGGGGGCTTCATGCGGTGGCTGTAGCTGCGGATGAGGGTTGTTGCGGTGGCTGTAGCTGCAGATAGTGGGCTGTGTGTGGTGGCTGTAGCTGTGGATGAGGGTTGTTGCGGTGGCTGTAGCTGCAGATAGGGGGCTTCATGCGGTGGCTGTAGCTGCGGATGAGGG